CGGGACTCAAAAGATCACGATTGTTCGAGCTAAGAGAAACTTTTGCTGTAGATCTAGAGTCACCAGAAAAAAAGAGTGCTGAATACAGATCGTACTCACAACACGCTTTTGAAGGGGTATTTGTAAGGTTTGACCATAGAGAAGCACTCAACCCGGCAAAACCTTTTGTTCTTAAATATGAGCTGACATAAAGATGAATCTAGACTCGGCCCAGGGGCCAGACTTTTTTGTACTTTTTTGTTATGCAAAGGAATATTGGTATAAAGGTGAGTTTTCGTTGGCATTTACAATGAAACAATTGCACGAGTCATTGCCAACAATATTGTTATTACAATACAGGTAGTCGTTTTTGTGGCTTTCATACAGCAGAAAACTAATGTTGGTGGCAAAGCTATCGAAAGCTGCTATTGTAATAAACAACATTGTTGGAAATGACGACTCATATAATTATTTCTTTCTATGCAAAGGAAGTTGTATTGTACTGTATGGCGCAAAAAAGGTGTGGTAATTTAATTTTCACTATAGTAATAAAGGTAACTTATTTGTGTGTGATATGAAAGTAAATAATATTAAGGACAGAGTACAGTAAACGTATGTAGTAATAACAAAGAAATAAAATATCACCTTAAACTAGTATGTCAACACGTACCGAAGCAAGGTGGGGACGTTTCACCCACTAACAATGATACTAAAAGTTGATTACGAATTTTTAAAATTCAATATGTGTTAGCATACAAAAAGCGGTGCTCTCTTTTCTGTAAAGAAACATAAGTATATCAGAGATTAGATTTGAACACCAGAATTGTCATCGTTAGTGTGATTCTTAAATGATGAGGGTTTTTTATAATTAATTTTTTAAAGTTTGATTCTCTTCAATTAAAGGTTTTTAATGATTTTTCTGAATAATTCTATAACTTAGTTATATTGTTCTTTATTAATGGTGGGACAAACTATGTATGACTCAAACCTCACTTGCATCAGGAGGTTTCACTCATAGTTGCATGTTTTATACTTTACGGTGCAAGATAGATTATAATAGCCGGAGAAGAGTAAATTTTTTTACAATATTTACTTATACATGACCTATATTTCCAGGCCCAAAATAAATTATGCCCGTAAAGTTGGCATGCCCACTGATCACAAAATTGAAAAAGAGTATCCCAGAATTTTGTTGGTACGAATTTTGTGGGTACTTAACGTTACCCACTCTTTAGTGTTGAATATTTTGATGTGCATAGGAAGAATTTTTTAAAATTTGGGTATAAATTAGTTCTTAATTGGAACAAAATTCTGGGATACTCTTTTTCAATTTTGTGATAAGTGGGTATGCTAACTTTACGGACATAAATTAATTGCTTCTGGAAGAAAAAACGTTTAATTAAAAAGTGAGTAAAATCTTCTGAGTTTTTCCTACATTAAGAATGTCACATTTTTCAAATATGAATAGCAAAGAAGGTGAATGAAGTAATGAACTTCTACGGAAGGAAATCATCTTTTATTGGCAGATTAGAACAGTCCGTCAGAACTCAAGGCAGTCGTCTAAACAAGCACTTAGCGCCGCGCAGGGGAGGGGGAACCCCAGGGCGGAGGGTTGGAAGGGAAGTTAGGAGGATTTGAGCAGGGCCCGGCAACTCTCCATCAAAATTGGGGACAAAGCTAGAGGTTCCTATTATAGGATGCGCTAGTGTCGCCGGATACAGCTGCTGCTAAAGCTCGCCAACTTTCGCCCATAAAATTGGTCAAGAAACACGAATACACTTTGGTTATGAGCGATTTCTAAAATAAATTACAAAAGAAGTTAAATACTATGTATTTATCTTTTTAAAATTCATTTATTCATAATAATCACGCATGAAAGGAAAGGTAGCGCGAACAGCGGCGGGATCTTTTGTATCAAGCGCGTGTGTTTGCGTCCCGAGAACCCACACAAGTTTTAAATAACGTTGGTAGCAGTTCGTATTTTAGTTCGTGTAAGAAGGTGATGTTCTAGAGCGCGTCACTTTAATGGTTCGCACCACGTTATATGGGAGTTATAGGGCCCTGGCTTTGAGACGGAGCCTTTTGTGATGGAGGTGTTACGTCCGCCGTGGTCGGTGTGTGTTCGATGCATCGCATTATCATATTTTAAAAACGTGTTTATTTGGTGAAATGAGACGAAACAAAAAGATATATTAATTTATTTAGTAGATCTGATGAAGACAGTGCTGAAGATATTGGTTTTTATCAACCAACGGATTTGTGAGGTGAGTTTCCTTTAAAATATTTTCGTATGAAGTGTTTTGGGGAATATGCGTTATGCAGACTGAAGGTCGTTCACGAGGACCAAATATCCTAACACCGACCCCGACTAATGAAAGCGTAGTGAAGAATCAATTTCGCCAAAAAAGTTATTTTGATTAAAAAAGATGTCAGAGGAAGTGAGTGTTAAGTAAGAGAAATATAAGACTCATTTAGGCAGCCACTAGTAAAAGCGCTTACTTTTAGAGCACGCAGAGCGTGCGAAAAGTTCAATATTCTGCACTAGGGTTGAAAGTGCGTTAATGTTAAAATGTCCAGATGAAAAATGTGAATGTAACAACGAAAACAAAATATTTTCGATTGATCAGCTGCAACTGATCAAACATGGCACCCAAATGTTCAATTTGTACCCTTAAATTGAAATAAAACGCAAGTCAGTAAGACTGTCTAAAAATAGTATACGAGTATTCGTATAATACACATGTGAAAAATGATTGTACTTCGCTCATAAAATTGTGCAATTAGGCCTATGTGACGCAACATTTCCTATTCGCAAATTAAAATGTTACTTTTACCTCTCATATCATAAATACGTATTGGGCTTATTCTAATTTTGTAGGGTCGAACCGCAAGCTACGTTAGTTCCTTGAATGTGTCTTAAATATCCAAGCGAAGAATAGGTGAGGGTTTTTTCGTAATTTTGCAGCGAGTATAGGAGAACGCACACGCTCCCTTGCATTTCCTCCGTAATACACTTTACTCACTTTTCTTCTTCCTCCAGTTATTCTTCCCTTGAAGGGTATCCTATCTTCATTCACCTACTATTATCTAGTAGACAACAGCGAATAAATCTGACGTAGAAAACGAAGCTACGCAAGGTCGTGTGCGTAAACTACATGGTTTGCGCTCGTAACGGTATGAGAACGGAGAAGTCAAGTTAGAGGCTAAATAATCCTGTTATTCAACGCCTTTGATTCTTAACTTTTGAAAATTTTAACTGTTTTAATGAAAAAAGTTTTAAATTTAAAAAAATCAATATTACTTTCATTAACATGGTCTTAATATGCATAGCAGGAAGTATGTTTAGAATATTTTAAAAATGTATTAATCCTTGTTCGGCCTGTTAGGCCTTTTAAGTTTTTTAATCATGCATAGCATGTACGTAATTGGTAACATACGGCATTTTTACATATATTTAACTTACAATAAATAATAATTAATTACAGAGGAGTTTCCAGGAAGAATCTTGTAGTTTCTCGAATTTATTTCTTCCCTCTGACCGGGAGATCTTAGGTTCGAGTCCCGACGGTGGCAGGATTTACGACACTAGATTGTTAGATAGATCGAATTCAGCCGCTCTCATATTAAGTGCTACAAAAACAAGAAAATTACCAAACTTTGTCGATCGTTAGCTTACCTTCAAATATTAGGGTAACGCTTTTGACCCCTTATTTGGTATTTACTGGGCCCTTCAGCCGCCACAGAATTGGTATGTCAATTGTAAATCTGCTTTTGTTTGTATATTATATTTATTCATTTTCATTTATTCTTATCATAAAAAGTTCTCTCTCTTCCAAAACTATTTCATGTTAACTTTGTCATCTAACAAATATTTTATCTTCCTTATCAGTTATTACACGTTGTAAATTTGTAATTTCAAGTATTGATTCCTTTTTAGTTCTGTAATTTCTTTTTTATAATTTGCTCTTCCTTTTTTCAATTTGTCTGCAAATTCAATTTGTTCCCAAATTTATTTTTCTATTATTCAAATTGTATTTTAATGATTTTCTTATTTCTGTAGCACCGAAGGTGGACGCCATGCGGCGAAAAAGCTTTAAACTGAATGAACGTAAATGACAGAACTACTGAGCGTAATTACTTTTATACACATAATGATGCTAATATCATAAACCCCACACCATTTACTATTACAAGATGAAGGGAAACGTCACTAAACTATTGTACAGAAACTAAGCGTTCCACTGCAAAATGACTCAAGAAGCATTTATTTATTTAATTGAGAAGACCGGGAAGTGTGATTCCCTGAAATTACTCTCCTTGTAAAATTATAATCCCAATACTTCACAATTCTAAAGTGAAAAAAAATTAAAATAATTTATTTAACGATAATTTCTTACAGGGAGTTTCAAGAACAATATTTTTATAACATTTTAGGACGATCACGCAGCCGTCGGGTCTAGTAACCTTCATCCATGAGATGAAAATAATTAAATGAACTTATATAATTTTGCTCTTCATCGTTTAGCATTGAACTTAATATTATTTATAAATTTTATTTTTGAATTTATTGAATGTTAAAGGTGAGTGGAGCATATTCTTTGAATATCTTTAAAATATACGACAATTTTGTTTTGTTTTACCTAATCTAAAAGTATTTGTGTCAGGTGAAGATGAGAGATTGGAGAAGCAGTTTGTTGATAGTTTTGAATATCGGTAATTCTGTAGGAATCTTTGTGAAGAAATGAATGAAATTTCATAATTCTGCGTAGAAATGTATCTTGTATTACATGTAATGTTTTCAAATGTGTAGGAATGGTCATAAATGTAGTAAAACAGAACCGTATAACACTGTTAATCCTGTAAGCTTTGATACAGTGTGATAGTGTCCAGGGTTCATCCAGGTCTGGCTATTATTAAACAGTTTTAAAGAAAGGAAGTGAGAGTTTGCACTTTTTAAAATACATTTTTTATATTATTTATTTCGTCGAAACCCATTGAACATGCATTTTTTCACATAATTATGTGTTTAAATGTATACATAATAACAAATAGACATTACACAATCAAAGTAAAACATATTATTCTAGTATATTATTCCACAATATTTATTCATTCTTTAGAAAAATAAAAAGAATTACTATTAATTTTATAGGTTAAATTGGAATATTAGTTTTTCCTGCAAAATAAAATATCTTAACTGCAACAATGTACAAAATTTAAGAATTGCTAGCCGAAATTTCCAGTTCCCTGATATAAGTTAAAACATTGGTTCCTAAGGATCGCCTATAAATGAATAGTGGGAAAGCAACCTTATCAGTTACTATTTCTCTCTCGAGTCGAGGGAGCGAAGTAGTTTTCCTCGTGCACGTCCTCCGTCCCTGCCTCGTTTGCCCGCCCTCCACAAGCGCCGCAAGGCGTGGAAGTAGCCCTGCTCCGGGGCCGCCAGCCACACTACGCAGGTCGCCCGGGAGCAGTCGGCCACGTACCCCGTGGCGCGGAACGCAAACGTGCTATGAAAGTAAAATTCAGGGTAATTTATCATTGCACTCGCCCACCAGAAAACTATTTCCATGATGATCTCAGCGCTGCCGGTCATAACGATCATTTTTACGTAGGTCTTGATCCTGGAATTAAGAACACAAAAATTTAGTTATTTATGCATCAAAGGCGTTACAAGGGTTCTAATGAGTGAGCGAAAGTAAAAAAAACCTCGGCCATCGGCCCTCGGTATGTTTGTCTTCGCTCGATCATTCGAACCAATTAACGCCCGTGATACATACAAGATTTTATTTTTACCTAATTTTAATTTCTTACCTACTTTTACCTAATTACCAGATTTACTTATTTCGTAGTTAAGTGGATGTTAATTTGACTCGGTTTGTCTATTCATAGTTCCCCCTACTAGACAATGTGTAGCATCATTCAATTGTTTTTATATTTCCCTCGTAGCCACGATCGTCCCGATCCACATATATTCAATATATTTAGAGCTGCGTATTGAAGGCAGTAACAAGTAATAACTTATCAGTAAAAAATAAAATATATTTTGGAATAAAGATAAAATGTTAGTAACTAGGAATAACGGTCAAAACTGTAGGGGATGAAATGAAATACCCGTATTAGTAATTATTTATAGTAAATAGAGTATCATTTAATTTTCTTGATATTAAATTTTAATGATTCACATAAACTGAAGAGATCTACCAATCAAAACCGGTTTAACAAAGCCCATCAGTAGCAGCGGCATTTTGTAAATTCTCGCAAAACCAAACACTCTATATATACCTCCACCCCCTTAATCCCAAACTCTCTCCATTTGCGTGCCGCATAAACTAACAAAAATTCTGCTAGTTGTCGCTCCAAAAATACCAAATAATGTGGTGATTTCATAGCAACCAGATCAGTCGTTCGTGGGCCTAGAAAATATTGCCTCGACGACCGTTTTATTCCCAAAAAAAACTTTTCCGCAGCTTATCCTAAAATCAAAAGTAATAATATAAAAAAAACTCGTTTCTGTCTTCCTCCAATTGTTCAAACTACACGAGACAATCACGGGGACTCGATTAATAGTCAAAAATGAAAAAAAATTGTGTAAATTAGGTTTTGGGAGAAGAATGATGGCCGACGTACGCCTTGGCGTCTGCAACCGAGGAGCGCACTGCGTCGCTTGTCTGGGGCTTGGTCGCTTGCGTGCCCCGCCCCTCCGTCGGGCAGTGGCGGTGGGTCTCGTCCCGCAGCACGGAGCTGCCCCTTCGCAGGAAATGCACCGTCTTCAGGGTCCGGGCAATGCAGATGCAGTTGACGGCGATCATGAGCCCTACCGGCGCGTAGTAGAAAAGAGCAGTGCCGGATTTTAAAAGTTCTGAAAGAGGGGAAAAAATCAAAATGCCAGATTTCTTGGGAACAATTCATCTATGTACGACATTATTCAGTAAAAATGATCAACAGCACATACTTTCTCGTAGGACACATATTCGTATTGGTAACAATTCATTTATGTACGATATTTTTCACTAAAATGATGATCAACAGCACATAATGTCTCGTATTATTTGTATTGGTTACGTAATACTAAAACATTTTCGCATTTATCTTACGAATTCATCAGACATTGCTTGAAAAAACTTTCTCCAGCGAAAGAAGCGCTGAGGGCTGAAGTTACCAGTTTCCAAACATTTGAAACGTTCAAAATTTGAAACATTTGAATGAAAATCGCATTTTTTATAATCAGCATATTTATCTAAATTTGAGCAAACAAATAAAGGAGTATATCTCAGATAAGAGTTCTCTGTGAAGATTTGAACTATCGCTTTTAGGGTTAACTCTATCCCACGCTTCTCACAAGAAAGTAAATATTTTCATGAAACATTTTGAGTCTTCCATAAACTTTGTTATAGATTACTGAAAGCATTAGTAACTTAGTAAAAGCATTAGCTATAAGTTAGGGAGCGAATTTTTAGTTATAACACGCAATAAAATCCCATTATTTCATAATAAACATTACTTTTGAAAGTACAAGAACGTGTAACAAAATGACACAGTTTAACACTAATCAACAAGGCATATTAATCAATTACCATAATAATGAATATTAAATTCAACACAATGCTGGAATACAAAATAAATTATATAATGACCTTTTCGATACAAGAAATGGTTAATACAATTTTATGGTACAAATGATGACATTTTTTAAATTTACACATTTTGAGATTATGACACGTTTTATGTTTTATGGCGCAAATAACTGTTTCATCACACATTTATCCCATCGCAACAAGATAATCGTTCAAAGGTAGAAGTACATCGAACTGCCGACCACAGATTTTTCGAACAGATATCAAGTATACGTTTCGTCACAATAAAGTTGTTTCCAAAAATTAACTTTGATTCTCTTAAAAAATAATTCTCTTTTGAAAAACAACGAATACAACTCTTTCGTCATGTTGCTTTATTGAATTCTTACAAATTCGATAATTCGTTCCCAACCTATTCGTTTTCAAAACACGTCACTGAAGTACTGAACTTTAACATTATAAACTAGTTGCAGAACATTCTAATAATAGACCTTACTGAAATAAAAGTCGTTTGAATAAACTTCGTCGAAGCACGTGCGTGTTTCCACCAGCGTGGGAGCGAACCACTCCAATGAAGTGCGATCCCACTCGTAGGCGTGAGCGCATAGGCCGGTCATAGCGGCGGGCACCCCCCAGGCAAGGGCTGACAGCACCAGGAACCGTTTCCAGTCCTGGCCGCCACCAGAACGCACCACCTGCAGCTTCCTGCCAATCAAAAACAGTGAACAATAGAGTTTTTTAAATTTATTTATTTACCATTACATGGTCATTAGCGACTAAACAGATAGGTACATTTTACAATTACAATATAAAATTGAGAAACATTCATAATCAAAAACAATAAAAATGAAAAGAAACAACATAATTATACTACGTAGGTCCTATAAATGCTATTATAATTATTAATTTTCTTAACGAACAATCTTTTGACAATCTCTATAATCAAGAAGGATATCTTATCTGTCCTTCAATTTGGTAATTTTGCCTACTGCTTTTGTATAGAGGGTAGTAAATTAATGTGATTTACATTTAGAAGAAATTTACAATAGTCACATATAGAACGATTTTTTGCATTTATTAGTGGAGTATGTGTTAATTGAGTATGTTTCGTTCTCAATCTTCAAATAACAATCTGATCATTCCGTGAGAATTCTTTGAATAATGTTAAAGACATGGGTTTGAGGATTTTTTGTATGTTTCATTAGACTTCATCAATTTATATCTGCCGAAAAAGATATTTTGCATTTGGTTAAACATAGGGTTGCAACAGTCTTCGAATGTGTTACAAATTTGAAGAGTACCTGCAGCAGTTACAGATGTGGTAATTTCTGCATCGAGAGAAGTTACGCAGTCAATGCCACCATTGAGGGGCGTCATCCACGATAAAATGAGTTTCCCGTGTTAGATCATGGATCAAAATTGCAATTTAATTCTTAGGATAGTTATGAACAATTGAGAACTGTCTAATGGTGGGTTTTGCCATTTTGCATATTCATGGGTCCAGGCTTACCCGCATAAAATTGGAACCGTGGATTGCGATGTCTACAGTTGACAATGGGCACCAAATATTTTAAAATTTAAAGAACGCTAGGTTAGGAGTTGCCCAATTTTTTGCAATTGTCTAAAACTGAAATAAATTATGTAAATACATTTTGTATGAACCTGACATTCACCATGCCGCAATTGTAAACTTACGTTTCGGACGAATTTATTGTTGACTGTAAGACAAGAAAATATGTGCAGTGATATATAATGAATTAGTTTACATTTGTATTATATACTTTGTTAAAAAAGACTGAATATGTTTGTAACAAATAATGTACTTCAGCTTCCGGGTCAAGGACCCCCATCTCTATCAGGTTTTTGTTCAGGTTCTCTGATCTATTGAGCAAATGCTGAGATGACCCCTTGTTTTGCTTCTGGACGTAAATGTATCTCCATTGTGCACACGTTTTGTTGAACTCTCCTTTTCCTTGTAATGGTAAGAGTATAGGTAAGGGCGAGTTGCTATTTTGTTAGCAATGCAGAAAAATCATACTTGCAATTCGTTTACCGAAGCAAATAAGTTTTTTATAAATCGGAAACAAATTAGTCAATTTTTTGAAAATTGGTAATCTTGCAATTTTTAAAATTTATTTTTTAAATTTACTTTTATTTATTCATGTTAAACGTTTACACATCTTTCAACTATTTATAGTTAAAATGAGGGGAAGAGATTTTGGAACTCAAGAAAATGTGCGCAGATAATCTCCCCCCCCCTACGTAACATTCAGTTTTTAATTTTTTTGACTGAATAAATCTAAACCTTGCTGATAATCTCACCCATACGTCACATACAGTTTTTACTGTTGTTGTTTTTTTTGACTAAATAAATCTAAATCTAAATGTATGCCTTTATTACTTCTGCCAATCTGTACGTGTACCATTGGGCGCGATCTCTCTCAGCTGTACAGAAGCCTGAGTCATCTCGAAGGTGGCAAAACCGGTAGCTGATCGGATCAACGTCAGCCTCTATGCAGAAAAGCGAAGGTAAGGGCTACGTTGGGGCGGAGGTCGTGCCCGGCGTTGCGTAAGAGCTGTGAGCATGAATCATTACGTGACTGGAGGCGTTGCCCAAACACGTTACAGAGATGGCTAAAGAGACTTTACACTATTTCGTGGGAAAAAATGGCGTTTTATGGGTTATGTTTAAGCTTTTGCACAATTAGTTGATACACTCTCGTTCGTTATTAAATGGTGAAAACAGAACAGTCTTACAGTGCGCGTGAGTCTGGATACTCTGTATGACTGAAACATCGAGTTTACATTTTCGTGTTTCAAAAATAGACATGTTAATCGTTACGGAAAATATTGTTCATTGAATTGCACTATTTTTATTTTTTGACGTAGGTAATTCACAAGCACAAAACTTGTTTGCTGGCAAATACGGAAAAGAACACGAATATTTTCTGGAAGAAATGTCCTCGTAGCCTCCCCAAAAGGTTTTCCTTACCCGAAGCCCAGAGCCATGTTGACGCACAAGGCGGTAAGCCAGCAGTTGGCGGCCGTCAACAGAAAGTACATCAGGAGCGCTGTGAAGCAAATGAACTACAGAGAGTGAGGCATTATGCAACGTTGTTACAAGTTGTTATTTAATTGATACGACACCAACAGTGTATGAAGGGAAGGAAAGCAATTATACCATTGCAATGTAAGCATGCTATTGAAGTCATAAACAAAGTAATTCAGACGCCCACCTCCATGTCACAATATGCTGAAAAATGTTTGAAAAAAAAACAAAAAAACACAAACAAAAACACTACCCGTTATATCAAATTATTCCAAAAGTTTTTGATATTTATTATTGTTCATAACCATATTAGTGGTAAGATCAACTATTAAAAAGATTACTGGAAAACCTCTCCTTTAAAAAATTATATTCGCGAGTCTAACAAATGTCACTTGCACGGAAATTCGAATATAATAAAATTGTCTATGAAGTTTAAAGAGAAACACAGCCGACGATTCAAAAATTACTAAGCAACATGATTCAGTTGTAACATATTTAATTGTTTCCCTTCATTAAATAACTCTCCTGTTTGGTGTGACCAAATGACATTACGTACATCAAATTGAACATTAAAATGGAGAATAAAACAAAACAAATACGCTGACAAAATGAAAAATCAATGAACATATTCAACATAATTATTTCACAAATATAATAACTTACACATACCGTGAATGAACTTTTAATATTGATTGTGGAAACCTCTATCATTGAAAAACAAACTTCGTATTTAAATGGTCTTTGACGTCAGACGTTGCAGAAATTACAGAAAAATTGACTTTGATATTCTTTATTAATAAATATACTTTATGAGCCATTCCGTTTATTTGTGGAGCTTGTGCTCCTCGTTAACATCTGTCAACGATGCACGGACCAACTGTCCTATATGAACCTTTCGCTCATAACTCGTAAGCTTGCTGTGTTCTACGCACTCTGGCGTTCTGACGACATCGTCGCGGCAAAGTTACCGAAATAAATCCCACGTCTTAGCGCACCCACGCTATCGTGGCTTCGATGGTGTAACGATTCGGACTGTTTGTGAAGTGGGGGTATCGAAAATTTCACGGTTATTAATAGAGGTCAATTCCAATTTCTCAAACAAATTTCCCAAATAATTTTACATTCCTAGTGATGTGAAGTTAATTGCCAGTGTACAAAATTTCCTTAACTCGCCTAAGACTCTTCTGCTATCTTTCCCTGATTATAAACAGTAAACAGGTCACATATAGTTTGTGTTCACCTGCCTGATGGTTAGCTCCCAACTTCAGCTGTCACTTCAAATGTTTACAAACATCCGACAAAATATGCGTAAAATCGCTTCCAACATGTCCCTTCTTAACATTATGCGCACCTATTCACTTGGTTTGCAGTCTAAGTATTACATTACGTTTTCTTATCGGATACATTACCTTTCTCTGACGAAAATTCGTTCATTTATTTTGAAAAACTGAAATTTAATTACCCAACAATTGAATGGATTGGCTTGAGATGGTCCTTTACCGTATCAAGTTTTTTCCGAGACGTAAGAAAATGACGGTTTCATTCGAACGGTTCTTCTCACAGAGTAAAAATATTCAAAGGATTATAATTATCCTTTTTAACTATTTCACCCCACATTTGAGAGAGTCAAAATCTGTAAGCAAATAACAATTTATGTTGACTGCAAAGTCTACAATGTTTGATTTTCACGATGAAATCATGAAAATGCCAAGTTTATGCTTCCTACAGTACAAATTTATAATTTTGTTGTCAATTCGCGAAGTCGCCCTAACACAAGAAACCGACATATTATTATATTGATTTGGGAACCTGATTCTTTATCATGGCCTTGGGGTTTTGTTACCTACGAAAATAAACACCCAGATTTTTAACAATGTTGCCACTATGATAAGCACTTATTTATTCGTAAACAATATTCCTAAATCTACTCGGCGAATTCTTCTTTCCGCCGTACATACACCAGCCTTCTACTGTACAAAACATATCCCCGATATATAAATTTACCCTTTGAATATACCAACACAATATATCTTGAAAGAAAACAAATCTAAATAATATTCACTCATTCATACATATTTAATCTACATTTCATTCATGCGAGTTCACTTGTTTTAATTGCAATGAATGAATTGATGATTGTAAAGGTGAATTGATTATAATGGAAATTTACTATATAATATTTAATTACAAATGTTGGCCTTGTTACAAGATCGTGAGGCAAAATTGCGTCACCTGCTTGGATGAAGGACTTCGTAAAGGTGCCGTCTCTGACCGCGGCAAATATCTGCGTCCTCTCGTCATGGTCACCACCTTATCCTTTTTTATTTAATTCCCAATTGAACTACTTCCGAATTAATATACTCCTACTAGGAGCGTCACTTTAAAAAGTCGACTACCTTCAAAACAAATTTTTACATGAAAATCAGATATTCGACTTCCGCCACGATGTTATCACTCAGATCGCAAACACGTCTGTCTACATGCATTGTTGCCGTGTTCTTCTTCACCTCGTAGTTTGAAACGAAGGATAGCTCTTCTCCGCTGTACATTTTTACATTTCGATTTTTAGATATCTTCGGAATTCCTTAATTTATTCATTGCAATAATTTCTAACTAAATTCGAAATAAATATAGTTACCTTTCCCTTTTCCCAAATCCTAATACTGTTATCTTCTAAACGTTTGTGAAATCACCCATTGCTTATGAAACAATCTATTATCTTTGCCAAACTTACGAACATTCATTTAATAAAAGTTTTTCGTTATTCTGTTATAACCTAGAGTATGACTGTATATCTTTTCTAAATGTTCTTTGTTTATTTATTTAATCTTTACACGTCTCCTAACAGAACAGTTCCTTGGACTTACAGAAATAAATAACTCTTTTCCCACACAATCATGCACCTTCCATTGTTTGTCTCCTTATGAAATATGTAAATTTTAGTTATTTTGGTGCGTTTTTTAATAATCATTGTCGCGCATCCGAATGGACCGTCACACTTGAGAAAGAAAATAGAATTATAATGTTTTTCAGTAATACGAATCTGTTGTGATTTCTTTGGTTGTTATTGTCACAATTGATTCAATTGCACAGTAAAGAAGAAGGTTCTGTACGTAATACTTTCGTCATGGCAATTTCGAATGAACGATTCCGTCGACCCACGATTAAATATTTTCTGTTCTCGCAACCATTCCCTTTGTTAACTAATAGAAGAAATTACTTAGCGAGCCACAAAAAGTGGAACATGACAAGTTATAGTGTAAACTAATAAAGAAATATTTTTACATTAAAAGGTAGAGCTTAGCGGGAGATATCCCAGTTGAATATTTGGTTAATGTATTTAGTAACATTAAGGAATATGTGGGACTGAATATATTTAAATAAATATTATTAAAATCAGTGTTCATTGAGGAAAATCCATTTTACATGCACCAAAGAACTTGAACAAATGTATTACTTGTTATAGAGAATAAATTAGTAGGATTATCTTATTTTTGATGCAATTTTGGCATAGAACTACGTACAGTTGTACTTTTCAATTAATTTAACACAGAATATACATTATATTCCACTCCATATTTTTGCTATTGAAATCAAATATACTGTACGCATTTATACTTCCTGTACTGTATTGCGTAATATAATCTCTATGCTTTGCCATTACAAGCAAATGGTTGATCTCTTTAATAAATCTCGAAATGTCCGATCGTTAAGTGTTTTATTGCAAAAACTCTATGAATGGTCAAGCAACTGTAGTGCAATGAAAGATCAGAATGACCGTAATTTAGCAACGAATTTCAGAGATCTTCTATGAGAAATATCAATAAGAGTAGAAAATGATTGAACCAAAACTCACCAAAATTAACGCACGTATTTACGAGATAATACGGTGGCCCGGAACGAATAGTGTCCACTGCATCGCTGATTGACAAGTAGTAGACCGCCTGTCCCAGGTTGAAACCCATAAGACAGACGGCGTGACATGCCAAACACCAGCCGTGAGCCTTCAGCCGCATGCTTCTGTTGCATGCCACGGAGACGACAGCAACCATTGTCAGCGCTGAGGAGACGATGGAAATGGGCCGCAACAAGCGGTACACGCCCCAGGTGATCTGCGATTCCTCGCAGTAGAAGATGCTCTCCCCGAGGGTCCCATCCGCTCGGAGCTGGGTGTCCACACACGTCTCCCAGGAGGCGAAGAAGAAGTCGTGGAATCGGTGCCGCAGCAAATACGCCTCCCACGCGTCCCCGCGCGGCACGGGCCGAAGGCGGGGCGACGGGTTGCCCGGGGGCAAGCACTGCGCGGACATGCCACTGTGGAAGCAAACACGTGTCTCTGCATAGAAAATTCTCTGCCCAGGCCTGCCAGCCGCATATGCAACATATACTACGATATGGCAAGGGAAGCGCACACTATAATCTGCCCTGACCGGGCATGGAACCCGGCATCGCGTCAAGGAAAGCGAGCGCTCTGGCCAGTGAGCTACTCTGAGGGTGGCAATACGTGGTGGAGAAAGATCTGACCATGAGTCCATGGTAAAATAGACTGTTTTCAAGCACACCTCTCGTCGATCAGTCCGCATTGGCTAAACGGCTTCTTACGGGGCTAAGACCTACAATGAGAGTCCCGGCCTTGGGTCATGGGTTGAGGGATACGTGTGGTTAGCACATTAACAACCCTACGCCATATTCTGGTCTTCTCAACCTCGGAACTGATCTTTCTCATCATCACACAGCAACATATACAAGAACATTGCAAACAAGGCGCACACTTTAATCTGCCCTGACCGAGAATGGAACCCGGGTTCGCGTCATTGGAACCGAGCGCGTTGAACAATGACCTACCCTGCGGGTATAAAAATTAATTTTGGATTTATTCGTAAACCAATGAAATTGACCTGAGAAAATAAAATACCCTTTATAACTAATGTAGCAAACGCATACGAATTTGAAGTTTCACAATAAAAGAAAATTAATCTTACTTATTATATAACCGAGTGGTGTTAACTCTAAAACTAGTGATGCAGCAACATCATCAAACAAAGAACGACATTATTCCGTGGCAACACACTGGAAATAAAAGAAACATTAAACAATATTCCACAAATAATCGCATCGAATGAATTTACTAATACATATGTTATGTACCATGTCGAAATTCGTCACAAATGTCACTGAGAAAGATATTTCATTTTTACTAGTGAAGTAGCAATTTATCACAACTTACATCTATGTGGAATTGTAAGGTTCAATCACAGGAGCGGTAAATCCGCGTATGAAATCATATAAATAAATAAGCATACGAACAATAATTTACATTTTTCTATTCAGATTGCAATAAACACAACAGTATTAGGTAATAATCCAAGTGTGAAATTCGTAATCTACCGTCAGGGAATATACAATTTCAGTATTAATTTGAGAAAACCCATTGTAGTAGCACACATTTCACAAATTAGAGGCGTAATTGCATATGAAAAAGCATTATTTGAAACAGAAATGATCATGCACAGCTTAATTTCCCCAAAACAGTGTATAACTGTAGGTATAATTATAAGTGTATTCTTTATTTTTAAATCTTTACAGTATGGCGATTTATATTATTATTATTATATTATTATTATTATTATTATTATTATTATTATGCTTATAATCATTCTTTCTCTACGTAATGCGTTGAGGATGGATACTGGTTTTTGACAATTTATATGAATTGTGGGAATTCTGATGAGGTATTGTTGACGTAATTACATGAACAAGTAAAATAAATAATCTCCGCCAACATTTAGTAATTAACGAAAGGAATGTGTACAGAGGGAGATAATTGTGTGAATGTTATGTTCAAGCAAACGAGCGACGATAGGAGAGAGTTTTCTTATTTACCATGAGTGCAATGCCCTTTATCCACGTGTTACGTTCAATATTTCTTTGTTTCTATTAAAGAATAATTTTAATTTCGAGAAATTCAATCATATCTTTACCATTTTAGATATGTATTTGATGACGTTTTATTAGTTCTGAACAAGACCTTTATTAGAGGGCCTTGCAGTGTATATTTATGATCTCCTTAATGTCTTAGAGAGTAATGAATGAAATAAGAAACGTCTGAAAATGAAAAATATTTAACGTAATCCAGTTGAAATATTAGAAGAGGCTGACAAAGCCAAGAAAACGTTTCTTCGCACAAAAAGTAAGGGCATATATGAGAGAACAATACATTTTAATGATGAAAAGGAGAAAGACGATTCAGTTCCGATTCAGACGTCTTGCTGATTTACTTTTCAGAGTGAGTAAATACAACTGGCGATATTTTAAATTATTTTCTAAAAAATAATTGTTTTGCCAACCCATCTCTCTCTCTCTCTCTCGCTCTCTCTCCCTCACTCTCGCTCTCGCTCTCTCTCTCTCACACTCTCACTCTCTCGCTCTCTTTGACGTTCAAGAACGTGAAGGATGATTGATGCTAAGTATTAGTAAGAAAATAGTTTTTAATTTAACTTATTGTCCTTCCAATATTAACATGATCGTCCAAGCAGCAGTAATAATTGTTCGTTCATTATGTTGTTTCATTCGTTCATTGATTATGTTTTCGATGTACATAATCTGTGGTGTGCATTTTTGTTCATGTTGAATGACCGTTTGGAAATACCTTGACTACGTCTACGTTGTAGGTACATAATTAAACGGCTTCAATCAGTTCTCTGAGGTCTGACTGTTGTGGACTTTTAATTACACGGTGAAGTTTTAATTGCGCGCATGCCATAAACATAGTGATAATCAATGACTTTTCGTGGAATTAATGAGCATATTTAGTTAACTAAACGAAAAATATATTTCAAATCGGGAGACTTCCACACACAGCTAGACTGATGATGACGGCAAAGCCGTTGAAAGCCGGCTCTCTACATAAACATATTAAGTTGATATCTTTTATTTCTTCAATTAAAAAAAATCATCGATACGTGGAGATTCTTTCATGACTAAATATTATATTGTCGACGGCAAACAACCATGTGTTGTTGTTTTTTGCTCCTGTAGACCAAGCTCCGAAAAACTGACTTCAGTACATCGTAGATACTTCTCCACTGTGCTACATTTGAATAGGGAATTACTTCCCGGCCCTGAATTATACATTTTTTTACCCTTGTACTAGGAATACTGCAGGTTTACCTACTTAGGGTTTACACTATGTTAGAAACACTTTTACTTTTTGTCTCTCTGTGAACGTGTTCTTGAGCTCTTGCTTCGCTAATTGGGAGAGAAGAGGTCAGATTGGTTATTTTGGCAAAAAAAATTATCTCGAATTTGTAGTTCATTTTTCGTTGCTAAACAATTTCTATTACACGAGAGTGAACGTTTATGGTTATCATATTTTGTCTACAACACTTGTTGGTATAATTTATTCTTAATTGAACTGATGTTGACAAAGAAGTGCAGGTAGGTATTATGGGGCTCACGAAAACGTGCTCGTGTAGAACTACCCACTTCCATGGCCCTCTGAACAGTTCATGTAATCGGTATTTCGAGATGTTCTCATATCTTTGGATGTAGGATGAAGACGGCGTGACAAGCGTCATGCTTAAAATATACAATTTTAGATTTAAAAAAATATAATTTGCAACGGGTGAGTTTAATTCAGAGCTAGCAATGCCTGACTCTGCAGTGAACGACTCTGACCTGGGGATCCGAGGGTTCTGGTCCCGACGGTGGCAGATTTCGTACTCAAACCTAGGTCGAATTCACTCGCTCTCCGCAGGAGCATTCTAGTGGCCGGCTGCTCTGGTCGGTAGTTTTCCGTGGTTTCTTTGATCAACTCTAGGAGATTGCCGGATCATTCCTTAACAAGCGCGCACGATCTTTCCTTCATCTTCCTTGTCCTATCCTCACCCTTACTTACACACACACACACACACTCGCATGCACTACACTACCACACATGTCGGGAGTCCAGTAGAAAGCTTAGAGTTTGTCCCGTCTGGACTGGTGCCTCAGTGAGAGGGGAGTAACCTTGAGAAGTATGTCACCCCGCAAGTCGATATAAGCCGACGAGGTTTTTGCCATATAGTGAGAGAGGCACATCGCCAGTTTCCAGAATAAATCATTCAGTACACTAATGGGACAAATGGCAGTAGCAGTTGACGTGCCCGGAAATATCAGTGAACCAAATTTGCAGATGATATAGAGAACAAATTACTATGGTACACATTAATCAGACGTAACTCAAGATTATGCGCCTAAGGTTCTTAAAACCAGATTTTTGTGGTAGGGAGACACGCGAGTTTTTATAGGGTGTGATATAGCTTTTCAGACACTGCTTCGTAGCATGGCTCCAAGGGCCAATTTGCAGTCTACATAATGTTAAATTGAAAGTGGAAACTCATTAGAATAGTCACAAATAAAAAGAAATACGAAAAGTAGAAAATTAGATTTTGTAACAAAATTAAATTTATTATTTGATTATTTGTGTAATTTAATAATTTTAATATTCTATTGATTTAAAAACTTCAAAATTCCAAAATAGTTACTTTTATACACTAAGCACACAATGCTGTAATACACATTTCACGGGTTAGCAGTTTGAATATGAGATTCAAAACGATACTATTACCCCTTTTTAAAGTGCGGAATGTTTGCACGGATTCAGATTATTATTTTGTTAAATTTTCATTTAAATTCATTGTTCTTTTTTCAATTTTACAAGTAATGAAATAACATGAAAATTTGCGGTTGAGCTAAGCTGTCTGGCTTACGCCTCCTAGACACGTTTAGGTCATCACACTGCGACCGCCCTCACCGCCAAATGCAGGAAGGTTGCACGATGACGGCCAAAACGTTAGCAATCGTGCCTAGAACGCACCTCCCGGACAGCGAAATATCTAACGACTTCGACCGCGGAAGCCTAAACGCCTTTCACGCACACATGTGCATTTTGCGTGGAGTTTGTACAAAGCGTAAGTGGCTAATTACTGTACCCTCTTTTGAACGGGACGTCCGCAGGTACGAAGCTGGCGAAGGACGAGTTGTGAGGCGTCCAGTAACCCCTCGGGTTGTCCTCGCACATCCAGCCCCCCACCTTGGCCGCCATTACCTCCCCTGAATCACAACACTTGACGAAGCAGTCTTCGTAGGCGCAGTTGACGTCCGAGAGCAGCGCGAAGGGCGCCAGCGGGGGTCGAGCCGCGTCCACACAGAACCACGCGGAATGCACGGCCTTCCTCTGTTTGATAGGCGGCCACGGGTTCTTTATCGTTCGGGTGACTCCTTCGTACGTATTCGAGAAATACGCGCGATCTCCGCGCCAGTAGGCGGCGCCGCCGGCCATCTCCTGCTCCTCGTCCCCGAGCACGGCGTCTCGCACCGTCTGCACCACGGGTTTGTGGTAGAAGCGGGTGCGTCCGTCCAGGAACACCGCCCAGACGCGGTCGAGCGGCAGGCCCGGCGGCAGCCAGCGCGCCACCCACGCGGCGTCGCTGCGTCGGTGGCGCACCACGCCCGTCTTCTCCGACGAGATGAACCTGTGGAGTCGCGGGCGGTGGCTGCGCGGCCACGGAGCGTCCACGCACGACTGCCCGTCCCCGGAGAGCATTTGGAACATGCCGCAGCACTTGTAGATTCCCAACGGTCTTCCTTTTTTACCGTTCACTTCCGTGAGTAGGGACATTGCCAGCGTCGTGAGTATCAATACGCTACGTGCACGCATAGTTGTCCACGAATGGTGGTGGCTTTGGTGATGAATTGCGTGGTTTAGGCGGTCGCGGTTTCGGTCTTGTAGGAGACCGAAGTACGGCCAAAATGTATGTAGCTACGCCGGGTGGAGTCGGTTCCTGAAGTGATTGGTCAACGGCTGATTTAAGATTTTCTGAAGCTGCTGTCGATGCAGAACGCAGTCACAGGGCGCACATCGTCTGTTAATGTCTACAACACTCCGCGAAACGAACAAGTTACAGATGAAGTACTGCTTAGAGACTTTTCCAGACAACAACAAGTTTAGTCTTAAGTAAGGCAGTGTTACTGTTAGCGTGAGTTCGAGCTAGCGTAGCGTAGCGGAAATTATGAGAAAAACGTTTATAAATCACTTGAGTGAATAAAGGAAACCGATTACTCATCCGAAATTCTGAATAGCTTCTAAATGCATTTTTCAACCCACATGGAAACTTCATGTAGTTTGTTCCACAACTAACTGAAACTAAGTAATCGGCTTAAAATGTAATGTTGATAAAAATAGTTTTCTTAGATTCTTTTTACTGATTGGTCAGCAGGCTGACCAATACCACGCAACACCCAGTGTCATCTTAACATCGTTTCCCCATTCCCTGTGCTTAGAGTTACGTCATACTGTAAAAAAATGCTGGTTTCCTGCTTCCTTTTCTTCCGGGCAGTTGAAAACAAGATAACGTGCCTACTGTAACCCAAATGTTATATATAAAATGTTGGTGTCATTGAGAAGTGCAATCATTCAATTGCTGTAATGCGCCAAAAAGGGAAAAAAATCGGCAGAATATTAAAACACAATTATAACATGTCCCACCATATTTATTTCATTCACCCTATTTTGCGGCTGTCTATAAAACACTTTTCAAAATATTGGCAGTTTTATATTTGTCTATTAAAGGTCGCATCGGCGATTGAGACATTAGCTGTAGTTCATATTTAAAGGTGTACAAGGACATTAAACTTTACAAATAGCAATCCTTAATGTTTATGGTTGAAAGTACTCTTACTGCAATATGAATGAATATTATGTAGGTTCTAGAATGGCTCATATGCAAAGTGCGAGCCTCCCATAGTGTGATCCTGGATTCAATTCCCAGTCGGGGAAAAATTGAGTTGAGCTTCCCTTTAAAACGTTCCAGTTTCGGCAGTTGTGTGACGAAGGAAAGCTCAGGCAGGCGACGTTTTCAGCTTTTGTTTGAGAGAACACGTCATGTTGACTACATGTCTCTCTTATGGCCCAAAAGTGGGAATTAAAGTAGATCTAGGCATTAGGGGCGCAATTAACTGTCCGACAAAGTTAGACAATCGACTCAAATTGCCACACCTACTTCACTTGTATCGATTGGTGGACGAATATTGGTGTAATCGTAAGTGACGGACAGGAGCAGGTTATTCGATTTCTAAATAAGGATTTTCAATGTTTCTAATTTGTTGGCCGGATGGTTCTATTCCAGCTTGGCGCGACAATGCTTTGAATTTTTAACTATCTAATGTTCTATATACAGATTCGGACTTGATGTACTGTCAAAGCTGGCTGCGTACTCTGAATCTGATGGTCGTGTTTAAGGGGGTTGTAGGTTCACACTTCGTGTATGGGAAATATAAGACTAATAAGACTACCGTTCTACAAAATCCACTGCACGATTGCGTGTCTCTATTATTTTGAGTATCTAGTTGACAACGTTAAAGAGATATCATTTTTACACTAAATATTTAAAAGGAATTTCATTGGAAAACGAAGTGCTTGTAATAACAATAGATTTCATCAACACATAACAAACAAAAAATTATTATATATATTTAGAATGGACTCCATGATGCAGTCGGTGTTTGTCGTGGTGAGATAGCAACTTAATCCACATAATCTCACCGCTATTTCCGCCCGCTCTTAAGGAAAATAGCTGCCAACCAGCAACCGCAAGGAGCAGCATAAAGAACGCGGTTACAAATAGTTTTAAATTATTTAACTTACGAATCGTTTCTGGAACTCATACTGTAACAAACGTATATGTAAATTTATGATGTACCGGTTAAACCGAATATTTTCTCAATGACATGTCATAATTCTCTTAAATTGTATCTTTTTGAATTAATTGTTTTACGTTAAGAATAAAACAATTAGACGTCGGTGTTATTAATAAAAAGCTATTTAACTTACAATACAATAATCCACAGGTGGTGAGAACAAACAAAAATAAATATCGAAAATCATCGTCAAAGACGAATTGAAATCTTGTTCTAAAACAGCGTCATTTATTGAGTCCCGCTATTACTTCCGCAATTTATTCTGTAAAAACTAATAGTCACAGATTAAGAGGCAAATCATTTAGTGTGATTTTTAATTTTCACGCTTAAGAAGTGATAGTTATGTAATTCTATGTAAAAATGGCTAATTTTCAGCAGAAAAACTCTTATTAAAGGGCTCTTGTAACGAAAAAGTGGATAAATCCAGTTGCTAAATGCTGGCACATTTTTTTTAATTTGACGCCACGCTTGGAGGTTATTCAGTTTGGCAACTGATCGAGGTATTTAAGAATAAAAGATGATAGAATTTAAAGTTGGCGCCTGCAAGATTTTACCCAAAAAACCATCTCTCACAAGAAGCAATATTTCATTGTATTTGAAACTGTTTGAAATAAACCTTCAAACTGCTTCCAAAAGAGACCGGTATATCGCACTGCCTCCTGTTCGGCCGGCGGAAAAGCCTTGCATATTGTAGAAATTTCCCGGAATAAATTTTGTTTACATAAGAAGTGACGAGATCGCATTCTTTGATAATCTTGGCCCGCAAGCAGTTTCGTAGCAAGAGAAGCTATGTAATACACATTTTTTTGGCGTCTTCCTTCAACTACAATCTTATAAAGATACAATTTTTAAATTAAATATTTTCATGAATAACAGAATTTCATATAACATATTGTTAAAGTTTTCGAAACTGTGGGTATTTTTGGAGTAATTGGGTGTCAAATGTAATCACCCGTTGTGAAAATACTGCTCTTCTTGATCGTAATGTTAGGTCTTTTGAGGCAGTTGGATGCTACATAAGTTATAATGTGAATAGAATTTCATATTTATTTGTTCTTTGTTTGCATTGGAACTTTTGTCATACGTTTACAAAATTAATCTTTTAGAAATTATTTTAAAAAAATTTGAAGAAAATATGAAATCAAGATTGTTAGTGGTCAGTCGCCCGCTCCCAATTTACGTAGTTGGATGCTATGTAAGTTAGAATTTGTATATTATTTCATATATTATTTTATTATTATTTATTATATATTTATGGTGTTTCTTTTTAAATTGCGTCCTTTAATTTTGTTAAATGTGAAAACGAAAAGACGAGTGGTCATTGTTGGTTGTTGTTATCCATTAAACCTCCGCACAGATAACGCAATAAAAACGAATACTTTTATATATTTGTAGAATATTGCAATATTCTAATGTTTAATTATTACTATAACATTTTTCGATCTATTTGTTTTCAACGCTATGATTATCGTACTATTGATTTACTTTTAAATATTTTACTTTCTTGCATTCGGCTTATTTTTCGCTCCAAGTATTTTACGATATCAAATGAGTTTTATAAGAATATTTCGGAGAGAAATTGTGGTATAAATAGTATTTCATAATCATTACTAATGGCGAGAAAGCACGTGCTGTTGTATCACCACTAATTCTGTAAACTCATTTTAAGGATTATTCTGTTTTCTTCGTATAATATGCCTTTCTTGACGAAAATGGATTATTTTTAAAACAATATTGTGACTGTATAAATATGTTCCCTATCGTTTTGAACAACCAAATTTTAACCTTGGGCATGAAGCATTTGTGATGGCTACTAACAAGGAGTAGGCAACCATATCTTCACTATCAACAGTTCTCACCTCTATCAACGTTCGATTTTAACATAATCGGTGATAGTAACAATACTTTTAATCAAATTAATTCTTTCTCCATCACCCCATAACGCTGTCTTTCTGAAACTAATTTCTAGCGTTACCCGTCAAACACAAGAACTAAAGACCACTGTTAGAGATGTTGTTTCTTCTCTAAACCAAGAAAACAATTTACTTTCTTCTCTTCACATTCATATAATACTAACCAAAAAATACTGAAGGTTGACATTATTCTTGAGAGCTAGAAATTCTACTGCTTGATTGTACATTTATTATATCACAATTAAACAAAGGTTATATTTTGAGCTACATATTTTGGAATTCTGTGACTGAGTTTGTGAACATCGCCAGAACTGAGACTGTTTTCCCAGTGGTAGTATGATATCAAGGCATGACGTGATCATACCACAACTTCCAACCGCAATTCAGGAAAAAGCCGCCTTGTAGCATACACAAGGTCTTGTTGACGGCAAGGCACTATACTGCTATAAATACCCTGGAAAGTTTTAATTTACGCGGCTTAAGCCACAAATCTACCATTTTGATTTACCTGGCATATCGATTATTTTAGTGCATGTAGGCTTTGATATCATTCATAGACCAATTTTAGTCCTCAACTGAAACTATATATACGGAAATTCTAGGACCGACACCTGCTAAACAGTAGCGCTGAACCTGAAAATGGTATAGATTTTCTTTCCGCCCAGTTTTACCTTTTATCCGGTTAGATGAAAACAGCGGAGCACGGCTCTTTGAACTGCACACATTTCGACTGTTCATATAAATGTTTGCATTATTGCAAATAAAAACGTTTTTACACATGTTGTTGTTTATCGAAGAATGTCAACATCATGAAAGTTCCCTCTTATCTTTCATAAGTACTATCCTATTTTGGATGTACATGATGATCACATACAGCTCCATGATAATATAAATCTAAACATTTATTTTCAGTCATTTCATTTGTATAATCAAGGATATATACAAACGGCTGTACAGCTGTACAGCTTTATATATGACGTTTTTCTGTTATTTTATATCGCAAATTTACAATCTTTCAGAAATACAGAAGCGAGACAGTATTTTCTACTACAATAGCTTGCGCTTTATTAACCCGGCAGTGGGAATGTTGGGTCTGCCAGACCCAGTGACATCTTTGAAGCCGTCTATCAAGTGAACGAAATTATTTCTTAACTTATCCACCACTCTACCTTCCAATTGAATCTTCTTGAACAGATGACGACCATTAGTTTAAGTTTATCAGAAAAAAGTGATGTGCTATTCGCACTTAAAGTTCCTCTTTGTGACTTTTTTACAACATAGCCGGCTCATCCAAAACTTATTTTAACCCATTAAATCCGAAAGATATAGAATTAATAAATTAGCTTTTAGAAAACAATGATGCTGATGAAGTTGCTGATATATTATTTGAACTAAATTTTCGCACTATACAGATTCTGAACAAGACATTGAAGAAGCTAAACCTGAGAATCCAAAAATTAAACCTGAATTATTTGTAATATATTTATTTATTTATTTATCTATTTGCAGTCTA